CTCGGCTGGGGTCCTGCCGTGCTGGGAGGGCTGGAGTGTGGTGGTGTCAGAGCCAGGCCAGCCCTGTGCCAGGGTCCTGGCACCGTCTCTGTCCCTGTGCCAGCATTTCGGTGTCCTCGGGAAGGGGCCCTGCAGAGCCCCCCAGACTTCGGGCACTGAAGAAAGGCAGCTGGATCTGCTCTACTCCAGCTTCCACAGGCTCAGGGATGGCAATGTCCTAGTCCTGGCATCTCTCAAGGATCCTCGGGATGCTGTGTGCAACCTGGCTGGGACCACCAGTACTGGGACCACCTCACCACTGCCAAATTTGGTGCCTACAAGGAGCTGGTGGCCAGAGCTCAGCATCAGTGCCCTGGAGCTCCCCAGATGTCTACCCCAGGGAGCCACATCTTAGCCAGCAGCCCCTGGCTCAGCATGGCCAGCACAGAGCTCACTCAGCTCAACTTCGCTGAGCACAGGCAGTGTTGGGTGCCCCTGGCTCGGCAGTGCTGGGCTGTGGGGTACAGCCCATGGCAGGAGGGGACCTGTAGCCTGAGACCCTTTCACTGAATGGAAGCAGGAGTGGAAGGACCTACTGGGCACTGCCTTTCTGGGGGTCTGGAGCTGAGTCGGTTCTGGGGGCTCCCTGTCATACCACCCTCCAAAGCCCAGGGACCCCCCTAGCCAGTCAAGCTCCCCAGGCTGGGCAGGAGGGAGGTGCCATGACTGCTCTGCTTCACCTGTGCCAAGGTGGAGGTTTGGGGTGACCTTTCCCCATCCTGCCACATACCAGGGGGGATGAAAGGTCGTCCTGTTCCCTGAACATCGCCCGCTCCGTTGGACCTCGGTGTTCTCGCGGGGGTGGAGGGACACTTCATCTGGCCTTGGTGCCTGATTCAAGGCTGTTCCCGTGCCTCTGCTGGGCACTGGTGCCAGCAGGGAGAGGGCTGTGGAACTGTGGAGGGAGGCATCCCATGGGATCACACCTCCAGCTCGGCCAACACATGCTGACCCAGAGCTGCTGGAGGGGGTCTCAGCGCTGCTGGCGTGGGTGCTGTGGCACCTTGCCAGCACCCATGGGTGAGCCCAGGGTGCAGCCCCCATGTATGGACAGGGCTGAGCACCTGGGTGGGGTGTAACCAGGGCCAGGAGTGGAAAAACAAATAGGGTGGAGCCGATGGGCACCTGTGGCATCAGCTGGGGTAGAATTGCTGCCCTCTAGGGCTGCCCACACTGCCCACACCCTTCTGCCCACAGATCTGTGCTCTGCTCTTCGCCAGCCTCTACATCCTCTGCCACTTCATCATAACCCACTTCAAGAAGCACACGGACTTTGCAGCAGGTAGGAGCTGCTGGAGCCAGGCAGCCCTTGGCAGCCACGTTCTGCCCCCCCAGGGATGTTACTCCATCACTTTCAACCTCCCTCGGGAGCTCTGGTGCCATCCCAGCTAAGGTTGCTGTGGCACCAGTCGCTGTGGGGCACCCACTTGCTGCCCCATGAGGGGAGCAGTGCTCAACCCCCTTGGGAGGGTTTCTGCAGCGTTTGGAGCTGGGGGAGTTTGGGGAGAGGGCAGAGAGCGAAACTCTGGGCAGCTCTGCCTCCCCCAGCCCCTCAGTTTGGGATTTTGTCCCCACAGTGCACGATGACGAGGATGCTGCTGTCAACAGGATTGCGTAAGTTCCTGCCTGTCCTGTTCCCTGATACTCAGGCACTTCCTCAGCCAGGACACCGTGTCCCATGGGTGCTGGTGACACTGGGTGGCACAGCAGGGCTGTGACACCCGCAGTGGCCGTGACCTGGAAGTAATGTTTGTCCCTTCGCAGGCTGGGGCTCTGCACCTTCACCCTGGCTGTGGCGCTGGGTGCTGTCCTCCTCCTCCCCTTCTCCATCATCAGCAATGAGGTGCTGCTCTCTTTCCCCCAGAACTACTACATCAAGTGGCTGAACGGGTCCCTTGTCCACGGTGGGTGCAGGGGTGACCCCGGGGTGCCCTGAGGGCTGTGGGTCAGGATTGCTCCCCCCGAGAGCTCACCCCATGCTGTTCCTCCTCTTTCAGGTCTCTGGAACTTGGTCTTCCTCTTCTCCAATCTGTCCCTTGTCTTCCTCATGCCCTTTGCCTACTTCTTCACCGAGTCAGAGGGGTTCGCAGGATCCAAGAAGGTGGGTGGTCCCACAGATGTGTCCCCCATTTCCCCCATCCCTGGCTGCCCACTAACTCCACTCCTACAGGGCATCATGGCCAGGGTGTACGAGACGTCGGTGGTGCTGCTGCTGCTGACACTGCTGGTGCTGGGCATGGTCTGGGTGGCCTCTGCCATCGTGGGCAATGACGCTGCCAGCCGTCAGTCTCTCTATGGTGGGTGCTGCCAGGGTCTGCTGGGCTCTTCTGGTGTCAGCGGGGCAGGATCAGGCCCTGACACTGAATGGGACAAGGCATGTCTGGTGCCACTGGCCTGATCCTGTCATCTCTGCAGACCTCTGGGAGTATTACCTGCCCTACCTCTACTCCTGCATCTCACTCTTTGGTGTGCTGCTTCTGCTGCGTAAGTTGGGGGACAACCCCCAAGGTGCCACTGCCCTGGTGGCTCGTTCTGTGCTGGGTGCAGGTCCCCTGGGGTGCCTGGCTGGGAGCAGGGAGTGCTCCCTGGAAATGGGGTCTGAGGGGTCATGGTGCAGGGCTGAGCCCTCAGGACCCTTCTGGGGATGCAAGAACGGGGAGGATGTTGGGGCATCCCCTGCTCAGCCTCTCCTCCCACTGCAGTGTGCACCCCCTTTGGCCTCTCCACCATGTTCACTGTCACTGGGAAGCTGCTGGTGAAGCCTCGGGTAAGGGCATGTGTCCCCCCCAATCCTGCTGCCTCAGCCCAGGAGTGATTGTCCCCAGGGCTGCCTGATCTCCCAACCTGGGCATGGGGTGCCATTCACACCCCTCATGGGCTCCTCACCCATTCCCAGCTCCTGGAAGACCTGGATGAGCAGTTGAGCTGCACAAGGCTCGAGGAAGCTGCTGTGTCCCGCAGGATCATATCTGGTGGGTGCCTGGCACAGCCACTCGTTGGGAAGGGGGGGGCACAGGGCTGTGAGCTCCCCTGAACCTCTCAGGTCTCCCCCTGACAGGCAAAGCTTCCTGCTGGCTGAACTTGGACATGGAGCTGCTGCGGGAGCAATTCTTTGCCATCCGAAGCAAGAGGCGGAAGCTGGGTGAGGAGCCTGGGGGAAGGCACAGGACATCTGGGTGCCTTCCAGCTTGGCACTGGGAGCACTGGGGCCCTGGCAGCCCTTGGCCCGTGGAGGAGGGTGGATGGGAAATAGGTTGGGGGCTGTTACCCTCTGTCCTGGTACTTTGGGGCCCCCTCAGTCTCCTGCCCTGGGGTGGGAGCCTGTGTTCTCTTCTCACCCAGGCACGTGTCCCCCTTACAGAGCTGCGGCACCGAGCATCACCCTGGCAGAGGAACCTGGGCTACCCCCTGGCCATGCTGGTCCTCCTGGCACTAACAGTGAGTGGCCCTGGGCTTCTGAGGAAGCTGGGGCTGGTCCCAGTCCCCCTCCACTGCTTGACTCCTTCCCTGCTCCTTTCAGGGCATCTCCGTGCTCATCGTCTGCTTCCACGTCCTGGAGCTGCTGCTGGATGATGCTGCCATGCCACGGGGCATGCAGGTGCCCGGTGGGGGGACAGGACAGTATGGTGTCATGTCCCACACTGGCCCGGGGACTGTCACCCTCAACCTGCCCCCTCCTCTCCCAGCAGGATGCATCCCTGGGCCAGGTCTCCTTTTCCATCTTCGGTTCCTTCGGAGCTGCCCTGCAGGTCATCCTCATCTTGTATCCTTCAGCCAGCCACTCATGTCCCCATGTGTCCCCGACACTAACCCCGGGGCCATCCCACCCTGTTTTTGTCCTTAACACCCCTCACAGCTACCTGATGGTCTCCTCAGTCGTGGGCTTCTACAGCTCCCCCCTCTTCACCCACCTGCTCCCGGAGCGGCAGGACACTCCCCTCACCAAGGTAGGAGCTCCAGGCTGGGGTTGGGGGGCTCCTGGGCTGCAGAACCCCCTGTCCCCACAGTGTGGTGTCCCCATGAAAGGGGACCAAGCATCCCACTGCCAGGCAGAACCCTGGTGGTCCTCCAGCATTTGGGGAGCTGCTTTCCCAGCCTGGGGTTCCCTGTGGCAGTGCTGCCCCACCCAAACCCTCCTTCCTCTCCCTCAGATCATCGGGAACTGTGTCTCCTTGCTGGTGCTCAGCTCAGCACTGCCTGTCTTCTCCAGGACACTGGGTGAGCCCCCGCAGGGATCAGGGTGACCCCAGGACAGGGGTGTCCCCGGGATTGGGGTGCCCTGACCAGTGTCCCCCACCCCTGCGCAGGGATCACCCGTTTCGACCTCCTGGGGGATTTTGGCCGCTTTAACTGGTTAGGGAACTTCTACATCGTCTTCCTCTACAACATGGGCTTCGCGGGGCTCACCACGCTGTGCCTGGTGAAAAAGGTCTCCTGGGCTGTTCAGGCCGAGCTCATCCGCGCCTTCGGTGAGGACAGGGACGTGGGGACACAGGGATGGGTGCTGGGGTGTCCCCTGTCCCCCCTAGCTCTCACTCTCTTCCTCTGCCCAGGTCTGCACAAGCTGCCGCTGCCTGTGACGCGCTGCCGACGCCGCGGAAAGCCCTGCTAGGGCTGGGGGCAGAGATGTGTTCCCCCCACCGTGGTGGCCTCCAGGATGGCCACCAGCCACGGAGAGGGCCCTGATGGCACCTGATGTTTCAGGGCCATTGGAGCCCCCCAGGGAGAGCCAAGACCCCCGAGTGGGGGTGTGTGGCCCCCACAGCTCCATCTCAGGCTGTTGCACTACTGAGCCTTGGCTTTGAGCCACGACCCCTTCACCCTGCACCCAGGGCCATGCGGTCCCCCTGAGGCTGCGCTGGCTGCAGCCTCCCCCACCTGTTTACA